GGGGACAGTGGGGCCACAGCCGGTGGAGGGGAGCCATAAACTAAACAGACATAAATTGAAACTTGAGAAGTTCCACCACAGCAGGAGGAAGAATTTCATAACGCTGAGGGTGGCAGAGCCCTGGGAAAGCTGCCCAGGGAGGGTGTGGAGTCTCCCTCTCTGGAGATATTGCAAACCCAGCTGGACACCTTCCTGTGTCACCTCCTCCAGGTGACCCCGCCTTGGCAGAGAGGTTGGACTGGAGAATCTCCAGAGGTCCCATCCAGCCCTAAGGATTCTGTGACCTTCTGGCCAGCCACCCTTCTGGGGCTTCCCTGAGGGCAGGGTGCTGCCAAGGGGGGGCATTGAGGGGCTCCTGGGTGTCTAGGGTGCCCTGGCCCATTTGGGTTACAGTGGCTGTGGCCATTGGGCCACCTCCTGTGCCAGCTTGTGATGGAGGGAACATCCACGGGGTGTCAATGGGGCTGGAGTGGGGCAGCCCTGGCCTCCACCCCAGACCGAGAGGTGCTGGAAGACAGGGGGGAAGCGGTGCCAGGGTGCCAAGTGGCTCCAGGGGAGCTGCCTGGCACCCCCTGAGCCCGGGGTGAGGGCGTTTGCCGCCGGCAGAGTCCATCCAGCAGCTGACGCCCTGCGAACACGCGCGGATGTACCCACGGGAGGTGCCCCCAGGGCCATCACCCGTGGGTGACGGCCACGTGCCCCAGTGCGACGAGCAGGGCCGGTACCGGCCCCTGCAGTGCCACGGCAGCTCCGGGCACTGCTGGTGCGTGGATGCAGCGGGGCAGGAGATCGCCGGCACCCGGACGGCACCGGGCACCACCCCACCGCGCTGTGGGAGCCCAGGTCAGTGACCCCCTCCAGGGCTGAGGGGAGCAGGGCTGGGTCCTTGGGCATCTGGCTGGTGTCCCAATGGCATTGTGGGGACAGTGGGGCCACAGCCGGTGGAGGGGAGCCATAAACTAAACAGACATAAATTGAAACTTGAGAAGTTCCACCACAGCAGGAGGAAGAATTTCATAACGCTGAGGGTGGCAGAGCCCTGGGAAAGCTGCCCAGGGAGGGTGTGGAGTCTCCCTCTCTGGAGATATTGCAAACCCAGCTGGACACCTTCCTGTGTCACCTCCTCCAGGTGACCCCGCCTTGGCAGGGAGGTTGGAATGGAGAATCTCCAGAGGTCCCATCCAGCCCTAAGGATTCTGTGACCTTCTGGCCAGCCACCCTTCTGGGGCTTCCCTGAGGGCAGGGTGCTGCCAAGGGGGGGCATTGAGGGGCTCCTGGGTGTCTAGGGTGCCCTGGCCCATTTGGGTTACAGTGGCTGTGGCCATTGGGCCACCTCCTGTGCCAGCTTGTGATGGAGGGAACATCCACGGGGTGTCAATGGGGCTGGAGTGGGGCAGCCCTGGCCTCCACCCCAGACCGAGAGGTGCTGGAAGACAGGGGGGAAGCGGTGCCAGGGTGCCAAGTGGCTCCAGGGGAGCTGCTTGGCACCCCCTGAGCCCGGGGTGAGGGCGTTTGCCGCCGGCAGAGTCCATCCAGCAGCTGACGCCCTGCGAACACGCGCGGATGTACCCACGGGAGGTGCCCCCAGGGCCATCACCCGTGGGTGACGGCCACGTGCCCCAGTGCGACGAGCAGGGCCGGTACCGGCCCCTGCAGTGCCACGGCAGCTCCGGGCACTGCTGGTGCGTGGATGCAGCGGGGCAGGAGATCGCCGGCACCCGGACGGCACCGGGCACCACCCCACCGCGCTGTGGGAGCCCAGGTCAGTGCCCAGGGGAGCATCCTCGGCAGGGAGAGGGGGACTCAGGGCTCTACAAAGCCCTGAGTGGCCCGAACAGGGCGGTGACCGTCACCCTCCCGTGCCAGAGCCCACGGAGCGGCCCCCCAGCATGTGCGAGCGCTGGCGGCAGAGTTTGCTGGAGCACTACGGGGGCAGCCCCCGAGGGGACCAGTACGTGCCACAGTGTGACCCCAGCGGGGACTTCACCCCGCTGCAGTGCCACGGCGACAGCGGCTACTGCTGGTGCGTGGAGCAGAGCGGCCGGGAGATCCCGGGGACGCGCTCCGAGCCCGGCACCACCCCACCCTGTAAGAGCCCGGCGCCCCAAAGTGACCCCGCCACACCAACAGCAGTGGCACCGCGCCCCGCTCCGGGCGTGGAGCCGAGGGGACGACGCCACCTGAGCCATCTCTGTCCCCTCCGACACTCCAGGTCTGCCCAGCGTCGCCCCTCCCAGCGTCCGGCCCGAGCCCCGGCCCGACGTGTCCCCACCGGCCGCGGGGACGTTCCTGCTCTACGCCCAGGGCCAGCAGATCGGGTACCTCCCGCTGAATGGCACCCGGCTGCAGAAGGAGGCGGCCAAGACCCTGCTCTCCCTGCATGTACGGTGTCCTTGGGATGGGGATGGGGGGCATGCTGGGGATGGGGATGGAGTTTGGGACAGGCTGGTGCTGCCACTCGGTGTTTTCAGCTCGCTCTGAACCACTTGTCCGAGCTCTCAGGGTTTGAGGGGGTCGCCACTTGAGGGTTGATGTTGGTGTTTGGGGACGTTGGCTGTGCTGGCTGCCTTGGTGGCACTTTGGACAAGCGGCAGGACAAGGGGGAATGGCTTCCCAGTGACAGAGGGCAGGGTTAGATGAGATATTGGGATGAAATTATTGACTGAGGGGTGGGCAGGCCCTGGCACAGGTTACCCTGAGAAGCTGTGGCTGCCCCTGGATCCCTGGAACCACCCAAGGCGTGGTTGAAGCACCCTGGGCGGGTGGAAGATGTCCCTGCCCACGGAAGGGGTGGAACTGAATGATCTTTAAGGTCCCTTCCAACCCAAACCATCCTGGGATTCTGTGGATTCTATTTTCACCTCTCTCCAGCCATCCCCAGCAGAGAGACTGGTCCCAGACAGCTCCCAGATCTGGGACTACTCATGAGGGGAAGGAGTTCGGGTGCTTCCAGAGCTCTCTAGGGTTGGTCACAGCCCAAAATTCCAGCTGCAGGGCTGGCCTTTTTCCCTTCCTTGGACTCTCCTTGGAGCGTGGCCATGCACCTCTTCAGCCAAGCCAGACCAAGGCAGAGGAACACTGAAATCCAGGCCAGGACCCTCCCTGCCCCCTGGGGAAGTGAAGGACCTTGCCAAGTATTCCCTCTCCCCATCCTGAAGGTCATTCCCCGGGCTGGCTTCGCTCTTGGAGCACCCTCTCCTTCAGGAAAAGGCTTCAGATCCATCTGGATGTGGGTGTGAGCCTGCACCAGCTGGCCTAAAATCCTCTGCTGCAGGATTCAGCTGGGAGGGTGCAGTGGGAATCCAGTGGAGCAGGGTTTTGCTGGGGAGATGGGATTTGAGCGTCATTTCCCGCCTGCAGCGCGTCCCAGGCAGCTCTCAGTGCCGGCTGGGGGGTTGAGGCTGCTCCCTGAGCCTCCTCCAGGAGGATCTCACCCCGTGCCCCTCTCCCGACCCTGACAGGGCTCCATCGTGGTGGGGATCGACTACGACTGTCGGGAGAAGATGATCTACTGGACGGACGTGGCCGGCCGGAGCATCAGCCGGGCGGGGCTGGAGCCAGGCTCCGAGCCAGAGACCATCATCAGCTCAGGTGTGCTCCTGTCCCCAGTGTCACCTGCCCAAAGCCACATCTGCTGTTCCCATCACAGCAGATAACACCTTTTGGCCAGACAAAACGAAGAGAATAAATTTATTCTTCACCATCATCATTTATTGAAGGGTCTTCAGGTAGATTTTGGGCAGATGAAAACCCTCCAGGGGCTGCACCCAAAATGGAAGACGGGTTTTTACACTTTTATAAGTTTGGTCCATTTGCATATTGGGGGTTAATATTCCAGCTTCAGGTAATGAAGTCATTTAATCCATATTTGCTCCCCCCAACTCAGTTTTGTTTCCATCTCTCGGGGCCTGGGGCAGTGAGGTGTCCTTGATCCCCAGGCCTGGAGAGGAATTGCTGCCCAGAACAGGAAAGCAGCAGCAGCTGACACTGCACACGGAGTTTAGAGTTATCCACTAAAGAATCGCGGGGTTACAAAGACACAAAAAATAGAAAAAGCTAAAATCCTACGGCATCGCCATCCTTCGGGATGCCGGAGGGATCCCAGAGCGGCATTTCCCTGAGCGCGGCCATTCCCCAGCAGGACTCATCAGCCCCGAGGGCCTGGCCGTGGACCACCTGCGCCGGGCCGTGTTTTGGACGGACAGCGGCCTGGACAGGATCGAGCGGGCGCGGCTGGACGGCTCCGAGCGCCGCGTGCTCTTCGACACCGACCTCGTCAACCCCCGCGCCATCGCCGTCGACCCCGTCCGAGGGTGAGCAGCGGGAATCCCGCGGGGCATTCCGGACACGGGGATTTGCAATGTGCACATCCCGTGGGAGGGGTTGGTTCTGCTGTTTCGGTGTCGGGATTTCGATTGTTTTGAAAAGCTCTGGAAACGCGGGCCGCGCCTCCAGGCTGCTGTTGGGATACAAAATGTGCTGCTCCTCACTCGCCCTCGTCGCAGAGCCGCGGTTTGGGTCGTAAACACGTTTGATATCGTTCTGCTTCGCTTGGAGAGGTTTTTTTTTCCTTAATCAAATAAAGATGGTTCAGGCACTGATTAGGGAAAACCAGGCCTTGCTCCTGGCAAGAAGCGGGATGATCTCCCACCTCTCCTTACCGCTGCGTGCCCTGTTTGTGCGTTATTTTCCAAGCAACCTTTACTGGACGGACTGGAATCGTGAAGCTCCCAAAATCGAAACTTCCACCGTCAACGGAGCCAACAGGAGGGTTCTGGTGCACACAGACATTGGTTTGCCCAATGGCCTGACTTTTGACCCCTTCTCCAAGCTGCTGTGCTGGGCTGATGCAGGTAATGTCCCCAGGGATGGATCAGAGAATGTCACACTGAGCCTCAAGGGAGAATCCTGGATGTCTTCAGTCCAGTGCTACCTGTGGGCTCCAGTATTGTGGTTTAGATTGGATTTTAGGGAATATTTAGGAAATACTTCTGGCAAATGTCGTTGTTCAGGGCAGTGGTGGAGTCCTTGTTCCCTGAGGGATTTGAAAGCCGTGTGGATGTGGCTCTTGAGGACATGGAGCAGTGCTGGGAAATGGTTGGGCTTGCTCTTAAGGAGTTTTTCAAACGTGAATTTTATGATTCTACACGTTTAGGCTGAAAAGATGTTTCAAAATGTAATAAATCAGGAAAAGGTTCTTCCCCCAGAGGGTTTTCCCCAGGCTCCCCAGGGAATGGTGACATTCCCGAGGCTGCCAGGGATACCCAGGCTGGGATTGTTGGGGTGTGCCGCGATCCTTGTGAGTCTGTGAAATACAAAGAACACATTTGGTGTGGCATTTTCAGCGGGATGAGGAATATTTTGTGTTTGAACAGGCACCAAGCACCTGGAATGCACATTCCCAGACGGCACCGGCCGGCGCGTCATCCAGAGCAACCTCAACTACCCCTTCAGCATCATCAGCTACGCCAACCACTTCTACCACACGGACTGGAGACGGTGAGCAGGAAAAATCCCAACCCCTGCACGGCTGGGAATGCTGAGCTCCCCTCCTTGAGAGGAATCCCAGCCTGCTCCCAAATCCTGGAGCCTCCCCAGAGCTGTCCTGGGTCTCCCAGCGTGGCTTCAGCAACACCTGCTTGGAAATCTCAGCCCAGAATTGTTTACACACAAGCCCAGCTCCCTGGGAGGGACAGAAACAGTGGTTTGGGGTTGTTTTTTTTTTTTAAACTGAAACTTGGCTTAAGTCTCTGGATGTAGATTAGGTCCAAGGGAAGATCCTGTCCTCAGCCGTTCCCTTTGCCTCGGCACCAGGAACTCGCCTCTGTTCCCACTCCAGCTGGAAGCTCTCACAAATCCCATCCAATCTTAGATTACAAACACTTCAGAGCTTGCCACACTTGGAGGAGACTCTGGGGGAGATAATCTCTCCTTGGAAGGCTCTTTCTTGTGGCTGCATCACCAGAGAGAAATGCACTGACTGAGCTGCAGGAGGATTTCACAGGGCAAACTTCTTCCCACTTGTCCTGCAGGTGTTCAGACTTTCAGCTGCCTGTTCTCAAACACACAGAAATAGGGGAAAAACCTGTTTCATAGGGGGATAAAACACTTCTTCTCCCTTTTCTTTTCACCAGGGATGGGGTGATAGCTGTGAATAAAGAAACGGGTGCCTTCACTGATGAGTATCTTCCAGAGCAGCGATCCCACCTCTATGGAATCACAGCGGTTTATCCCTACTGCCCTGGAGGTAAAATCCACCCAAACCTCATCCCCTTGGGAATTCTGATGGCTGCTGGGTGCCTGACACACTAAAAATCTCCATTTCTCCCCACAGCCAGGAAATAATAACTCCATTTTCAAGGAAAAGACCATCTTTGCACCCAGAGGAATTTCAGACCCAGAGAACTGTCACTGCATACGAGGAGGGGAAAAGTCCCTCACCGAGGCCAAGGAAGTGCCCTGCTTTCCTGCAAAAGATTTTCAAGTATTTTTTATAGTTATACCTCAAGACTTTACTACTGTATTTTTTTTTATCAAGTGGAAAACGTTGAGATATCACCAAAAAAAAAAACAACAACAACAAAAAAAAGGGTCCTGGGAAGCTCAAGCCATGAACTCTTGCTCATGCAAGATTTAAAATGTAGTTTTTTTGTTTTGTTTTTAACTCCAATGTTTTATTTTATTGGAAGAAGAATGGATTCATTTTTCATAGTTTGGACAATCTGACCAAGAGGTCATTTTATCCAAAAAAAATAAAAATATTAAAAAGTGCCTATGGGAAGCTGTGGATGCAGTAAATTGCTGGGTCTAAATAACAAACAGCCCTGAAGCCAAAGACTGAAGCAGAACAGGGATGGGATGTGGCAAAGGCATTGAAGATGTTCCAGAGGATGATTCTGTGTTTTCACCACTGCCTCCATGCATGTCTTTTAGTATTTATATTAGAAGAATATGCTAGAATTGATCTGTTCATGCTTGTTAGGTCTTCCAAGTGCCTTCCTAGACCGAGACATGTTCAGAAATACCAGTTACGTTGTAATTCTTCACTTGTTTTCTAGGTTACTTCAATAATTGAATAATAAAAAAAAAGGTTGGTTTAAGTTTCTCTCTTTGGATTCAGTTTTTCACTGGTTGGGTTTTAGGGGGATATTTCAGCGTGGGGAAGCAGCAAACAAGAAAGGAGCAAGCTGTTCCTAGGGCAGGACATTGGGAAAAGAAGATTTTATGTAACATTCCCCTCAACAAAAAACCAAACACAATGAAAAAGAGACACACACACACACACACACACACACACACACAAAAAAAATCCTATTTGCCAACTCAGAGCTCACCAGAACTATTTGTTTCCTTCAATTTCATTTATTTAAAGAAGAAAAAAAAACAAAAAAACCCCTGGTAATTCATCAGAAGTCAGAATTTCCTGTTTGCTTTCCAAACAGGCGAATTAATCCCGTTTCGAACTGCATGCCAGACCGGGAGCTGTACGTGGTTCCTAAATTGCACTAAAAGCAAAAAAAAAAAGCTACAAAGCTTTTGTCCCTTCATCTCCCCACTTTTCCCAGTCTGTGGTCAGTCTTGGGGTCAGCAATGATGGCCTGGACAGCCACGATGGCTTCGTTGATTTTGGTTTGCAGCTCGCGGAGCTCCTCGATGTGCAGCAGGCGGAGAATTTGGGCGGCTTCGTTGATAACAGCGTCTGGGGAAAGGCACAGAGAGGACTTGGAATTTTATCCACTGTTTTCTCCATCATTTCCAGCTCACAGGAGGGATTTAAGGAAGTTTTAATGCCCTGCATGTTGTTCCTGCTGGTGGTTTTCCAGCCTGGGAACAGAGAACAACTTTCCCTGCTCCAACTGACTTTGATCTCCAAACTTTTCCCAACCCTGCTGTAGCCCAGGGTCAGGGAATGAGGGAATCACAGGCTGGAGTGGGCTGGAAGGACCTGAAGGATCATCTCATTCCAACCTCCCACCCCAAGGGTGGTGTGAAACATTCCAAGCACTGATTTGAGTGAGGTGGAGCAGAAGTGGAGCCCCAGTGGAGCCCCAGATCACCTGGTTGGTCCTTATCAATAATCCATCAGATTTATCAATAATCCATCAGGTTTATCAATAATCCATCAGATTTATCAATAATCCTTCAGGTTTACCAATAATCCATCAGGCTTATCAATAGGATATCCATCAGGTTTATCAATAATGCATCAGGTTTATCAATAATCCATCAGGTTTACCAATAATCCTTCAGGTTTATCAATAATCCATCAGATTTATCAATAATCATCAGGTTTATCAATAATCCATCAGGTTTATCAATAATCCATCAGATTTATCAATAATCCATCAGGTTTATCAATAATCCTTCAGGTTTACCAATAATCCATCAGGTTTATCAATAGGATATCCATCAGGTTTCTCAATAATCCATCAGGTTTACCAATAAACCATCAGGTTTATCAATAATCCATCAAGTTTATCAATAATCCATCATGCCATGCCAACTTGAGCTGCCTCGATGGGATTTTAGGAAAAAAGAGGCAGCAGAAGGGATTTGGGGGGGGATCTGAGGTCGTTTGGGGTCATTTCAGGAAGGTTTGAGGTTGTTTCAGGGGAGTTTGGGGAAGTTTGAAGTCATTTTGGGGGGATTTGGGGTCATTCCAGGAAGGTTTGGGGTCATTCCAGGAAGGTTTGGGGTCATTTCAGGAAGGTTTGGGATCATTTCAGGAAAGTTTGGGGTCATTTCAGGGGGGTTTGGAGTAATTTTGGGGATCATTTGGGTCATTTCAGGAAGGCTTGGGATCATTTCAGGGGGGTTTGGGATCATTTCAGGGGGGTTTGGGGAAGCTTGGGATCATATTGGTGGGATTTGGGGTCATTCCAGGAAGGTTTGGGGTCATTTCAGGAAAGTTTGGGGTCATTTCTGGGGGGTTTGGAGTAATTTTGGGGATCATTTGGGTCATTTCAGGAAGGTTTGGGGTCATTTCAGGAAGGTTTGGGATCATTTTGGGGGGATTTGGCGTCATTTTGGGGACCATTTGGGTCATTTCAGGAAGATCTGGGGTCATTTCAGGAAGGTTTGGGGTCATTTCAGGGGGGTTTGGGGTCATTCTGGGGGGATTTGGGGCAATTCCAGGAAGGTTTGGGGCCATTTTAGGCAGATTTAGAGTAATTTGGGGGGGGATTTAGCATCATTTTGGGGATCATTTGGGTTATTTCAGGAAGATCTGGGGTCATTTCAGGCAGATTTGGAGTCATTTCAGGCAGATTTGGAGTCATTTCAGGCAGATTTGGAGTCATTTTGGGGACCATTTGGGTCATTTCAGGAAGGTTTGGGGTCATTTCAGGGGGGTTTGGGGTCATTTCAGGGGGGTTTGGGGTAGTTTCAGGCGGATTTGGGGAGGTTTGGGCTCATTTTGGGGGGATTTGGGG